AACTGGGCACTCGGAGGCTCCCCAGGCCCCTGTTGGGGTCTTGCCTGAGTGAGGACTCCTGCTGGACGTGCCTGTGCCTGGCCAGGCTGGGAACTTCCCAGCGTCCACTGAGAGGAGGTTTCAGGGGTGTGCTCCTCCCAGTCCTGGCACTGCGGTTCTACGGACCCTGGGGGTGTAAGGGGCAGCCTCAGGGCGGCCAGGCAGGCCCAGGTTCTGCTGTCCTCTTCAGTTGCTGTGGCTTGGGTCCTTTGGAACCGTTGGGAAGAGGAGGATGGGGCACCAGGCTCCCTGCAGCTGGCCTGGGTTGGGGGACCCCAAGTGTGTTCTCACTTGCTTCCAACCCATCCCACAGGAGAGCATGTGATCTCTGTTCAACAGACAGGTAAACTGGGGCCCACTGGCCAAGGTCCTGGCTTCTGGGCTCTGTTGTTGCCCTTGCCTCTGAGGAGCAGAGTATTGTTGGTCTGGCCTGGATCCAAGAACCAGGTGACCCAGGCCCTGCGGCCCCACAGCTCACCTGCCTGTGGCTCACCTGGTGCAGGTGTGGCAGGCCCCACCCTCTCGCTCTAAGACTTGGCGTCCTTCCAAGGGGAAGTAGGGGCCACCTGCTCTGTGGAAGCCGAGGGCCTTGAGCTGGTGAATCCCCTGCAGGGTCTGGGCAGGTGGGGGACCTGCTGCTATTCTGAGGACCCCGTAGAGCGAGGCTGGTGCCCGGAGGACCCTGGTGAGAGGCAGGCGGGTGGAGCCCAGCCTGACTCCTGGGGTGCACAGGCTCAGGGCTGTGCGGTGCCTTCCAGGTCCTGAAGAGAGGATGGTACATCCTTCTTCCCTGCCTGTCACAAAGACCCCCTCTTGCCTGGCTGTGGCTGGTGGACCCCCAGCCCCTTGGTTGCCCCTAGAAGCACCCATTTTCCCAACCACACTGCAGCACAGCCCGGCCCGGAGTGTCGCTGCTGACCCTGGCCCTGTTGGGTCCGAAGAAGGTGGGATGAGGCTGTCCCTGCCCCTGTCCCACCCGCCGCCCTGTGGAGCAGCAGGCCCTGTCCCCACCTCCAAGTGGAAGGCTAGTGTGTGGCCCACCTGTCCCCTAGGCCCGTGTCCTCCCAGCTTTCACATCTGAGCTCTGCCCTGGCAGGACGGGCAGGTCAAAGCTGGGAGGTGCCCTGGAGGCCTGTCCCTGGCCGGGCGGTGGGCAGCGAGGCTCTGGCAGGGCTGGCCAAGCCCTCCCACTCCATCCCAGGGCTGCGCAGGGGCTGGGCTGCCATGGGTGCGCGTCAGTTTCCTGCAGCTGGGGGAACAAGGTCCCACGACTTGGGGCAGCAGCAAGTCTCACGGGTCCTGGCTGGGCGGGAACCGGTGTCAGCAGGGCTGCGTCCCTTTGGGAGGCTGGGGGATCCATTTCCTGTCTCCCAGCTTCTGGAGTCGCCCACGCTCCTCTGCACGCCCCTTCCTTCCTTGGTGTCCCAAAGCAGCTGTGGCAGGACCAGTCTGTCCTGTGTCGCAGCACAGAGACCTCCGCCCCTGCCTCCCTCCTGTATTCCCCGGGGCCCTCGTGACGGCCATGGCCACCAGCTTGATCCAGGAATCCCCATTTCAGGTTCCCCGATTAGAAGCCCGTGTGCCCACCCGCCCTTGCTGTGTAACCGAATGCAGTCACAGATGACGGGCTTAGGATGTGGCATCTTTGGGGGTCTGTTATTCTCCCCCTCCCTGCGGAGGACAGAGGCCTTGGCCTTGCCCTGCAGGCTTCCTCGGGGGCTTCTGGGGCAGCACAGAGCCGGGCAGCTCTCCCCTCATCCCACACACGCAACAATTGCCAGGGTGACGCCAAGCGGGCAGGGCCGAGCGGGCACACCGTCACCCCTGGGAGTCCATGACCATGTCCCCAACACCTTCCTGTCCCAGAAACACGCTGTGTGAGCCTCTCAGGTGGCGTTCTGTCAGCTGCCCCGAGCTTTGTCCCCATGTCCACCCTGTGAGCTGGCAAGGCTCCGGGGACAGTGTTTTGGGATCCTCCCAGGGAGCTCAGACAAAGGTCACGTGTGGGAAGCTGAGACTTTTAATTTTTTTTTTTTTTTTTTTTTGAGAGAGAGAGAGAGAGAGAGAGAGAGAGAACTTTTTAATCTTTATTTTTTAGTTCTCAGCGGACACAGCATCTTTATTTTATTTGTATGTGGTGCTGAGGATCGAGCCCAGCGCCCCGCACATGCCAGGCGAGCGCGTTACCGCTTGAGCCACATCCCCAGCCCAAGGAAGCTGGGACTTTTAAAAACTTTTTGTTACCATGGTAAAATATATGACCCACACGAGGTGCCACTTCAACTGTTTTTAAGTGTGAGGCTTGGTGGCCTTAGTGACATCCACAGTGTTGTGCAGCCATCACTGTTGTTTCTGAAACTTTGTTGTCACCCCAAACAGAAACCCAGCCCCAGCGGGCACCCCGGGTGACGTCTGCTGCACTTTCCCACCCTCGATGCGTCCCTTGGGTATTTCCTCCTAGTGACGTCAGACAACATTCTTCTGGTGTCTGGTCCCCGAGGTCCACCCGTGCTGGGGCCGGTGACTGCTATGATATTCCTTCACTTAAAAAAAAAATGGCAAACGCCGTTCTGTGTACGACCAACACATATTCTGCGCGGTCTTCCCCGGCTGGACACGCAGGTTCCTGTGAGCAGGCGATGGCACCTGGTTGGACCCTCATCTCCAGTTCCGGGCACATGCTTAAGCGAGGAGGACCAGGTGGTCATGACCCGTCTGCCATCTCAGGGACCGGCCAGGCCCCTCTCGTCACCATGCCCACCCGCAGGGCTGCCAGGGGCTGCGGCTCCTCGCGTCTTCACTTGCTTCTCTTCTTTGGCTCTAGCCACCCTTGCTGGCCGGAGGTGGTCACTCACCGAGAAGCTGCACTTCCCATGACTGCTGTGCTCACAGGCCCCCTTCCCGTGTGCTCGGCGGTCAGTTGTGTATCTTCTTTGGAGAAGAAATGTCTGCTCCTATCCCTCGTCCACCTTAGATCGGGTTGTAGTTTTGTCATCGAGTCTCAGTCCTGTCTTTTATGTTCTGAATTTTAAACCCTCAGGTGGAGCTGGGGTTTGCGCCTGGGCTAGCCTGCACCTGAACCGGGAGGAGCGGGAACACACGCACCTCCCAGAAGGTCAAGGCCAGCAGCTTTCTGGGCCCAGCAGCTCGGGCAGGGGTTCCCCGCCCGGGTCATCCCTGGCTGGGCCCACGTGACCGCGCTGTGACTCTCTGACTTGCTGGAGAGGCGTGAATGGCTAGCAACTGGAGTCAGAGCGCCCCGTGCATCTTCTTGGGGTCTGGAGGCCAGGGTCAGGCCCTCAGATACAGGCAGAGTCCTGGCATCGTCCTGAGCCAGCTCTCCTCACGTGTAACCCGGCCACATCCCTGTCTCTTAGGCTGAGGGAAGGAGGGCCTTGGCTATGGGGCCCTGAGGGGGCCCTGAGGGGGCTCTGCTCTGCGTCACATCCTCCCATTCTGGGTGCCAAAGGGGAGTGACACTCTGGGATACAGAAGGAGCTAAGGCAGGAGCCCTCCTTGGCCTGGGGGGTTCCACTTCTGGGTCCCCAGCCCCTGGGGCGGCCCTGGGAGACCCTCTCCACAGGCCCCCGCTGAGGAGGGTGAGCCCAGGCTGCTGGCTGCTCATTAGGTTGGGGGTCAATGTGGGAGACTCTGGGGACCCTGAGGACCAGTACTAACTGACCCAAGGCCCTGCTGCACTTGGCTTCCCCATCTGCATGACAGGACGGGCTCCATCTCTGAGGGCCTGTCTGCTCCTGCCCAGGGGACAGGGGACAGAGCAGGCCTGGATGCCTGTCCCTCTGAGTCCGTGATGAACCCCAGCCCTGCACCCAGCTCCTGCAGTCTGCCTTGAACCTTGGCTCCTCCAGCTGAGCAGCCGCAGAGGTCTCCAGAAGGCAGAGCTGTCCTGCCCCGGGGACCGGGCACCCACCTTCCCGGTCCTGCAGGGCTGCCGCTCTTGGCCTGGGTGGCCTCCTCCCACTCACATTGTTCCTTTTCTGTAAAACAAAATACAGAAAAGTACAAAAGATCTCTAATAAGCACCTAAGGCCCCAAACACATGCCTTCAACCCTTTATCATATTTCCTGCAGTTCTTGTTTGTTTTAAGATCTCGGGGCTGTTATCGGGTGGATCCGCCCGCCCAGGGAAGGGGCTAGCTGCTCTGCTCCTGGCTCCAGAAATATTTGGAGTCAAATTGATAGAAAAATAGGTTTTAATCAAAGCCAGCTTTGAAGAAGATGGAAGAAACTTGATTGTTTCCAAAGCTCCGTCTCTGAAACTCCTCAGGGCAGCAGGACTTTCAAAGCCTCGGAGGCAGCTGCAGGCCAGCGAGAGGAAGGCAGGAAGCGGACACGCGCAGACTCGGGCGGCCATCTGCCGTCAGACCTCCCAGCTTGGCCCCTGTCAGGGTTTGGGGGCAGGGGTCACAGCGGAAGTTCCTCTTAATTCAGAGGGTGTCCAAATCCGGTCTGTTTCAAGACCAAGCAGGAGTCCTGCAGTTCCCCTCCCGTGGCCACCCCCAGGGGCCTGATGAGTTTGGGGATGACCAGTCCATGTCGTCCTTCTGCTGTGCTGTGTCTTGGCCCCGCAGCCACAGCACAGAGGTGCGTGTTTAGCAGGGGCTCTCGGGGCAGGTGGCTCCTGGCTCTGCCGTGGCTCTGATTTCTGGCATTTCTGGGACCGTGGTGACCCCTGCCCTGTATTTAGGCTGGTGGCAAATTCCCCAGACCCCCAGGGGAGGGGTGGCAGGTGCCTTGCTTCTGCGTCCCCTCCGGCTGGGTACTCCTGGGTGCCAGGGTGGCCCGTCCCTCCTAGGCATCCTTGAGGGCGTGGGCTGCTAGATGGGTGGAAGGAGAGAGGGAGGGGCATGGCCGGATGGAAGGTGCTGGAAGAGCACAGGGAGGGTGGAGCCGGCCCGAGCTCTCTCACCGAGCCGCCTGCTCTCCCTGTCTCACTGCAGCCAAGTACCCGGCCATCAAGGACCTGATGCGGCCAGACCCACATATCAAGTGGACGGTGACAGGGCTGGTGCTGCTGCAGTTGCTGGCCTGCTGGCTGGTGCAGGGGCTGGCCTGGCGCTGGCTCTTCTTCTGGGCCTACGCCTTTGGCGGCTGCGTGAACCACTCCCTGACGCTGGCCATCCACGACATCTCCCACAACACTGCCTTCGGCACCGGCCGCCCTGCCCACAACCGCTGGTTCGCCATCTTCGCCAACCTGCCCGTGGGCGTGCCCTACGCGGCCTCCTTCAAGAAGTACCACGTGGACCACCACCGCTACCTGGGTGGCGATGGGCTGGATGTGGACATCCCCACGCGCCTGGAGGGCTGGCTCTTCTGCACGCCGGCCCGCAAGCTGCTGTGGCTGGTGCTGCAGCCCTTCTTCTACTCGCTGCGGCCGCTCTGTGTCAACCCCAAGGCCGTGACCCGCATGGAGGTGCTCAACACCCTGGTGCAGCTGCTGGTCGACGCCGCCATCTTTGCCCTTTGGGGCATCAAGCCTGTAGCCTACCTTCTGGCCAGCTCCCTGCTGGGCCTGGGCCTGCACCCCATCTCGGGCCACTTCGTGGCTGAGCACTACATGTTCCTCAAGGGCCACGAGACCTACTCCTACTACGGGCCCCTCAACTGGATCACCTTCAACGTGGGCTACCACATGGAGCACCACGACTTCCCCAGCATCCCGGGCTGCAACCTGCCCCTGGTAGGTGCTGGGCCCAGGCGGGGCTGGGGGGCAAGGGCCGGACAGACATGTGAGGAGGGGGCCCCGAGAGGCCCTGGGCCAAACCCAGGTGCTTTATCCTTTCTATGCTGCTCAGGAGATGGTCACTCTCATTTGTGGTCTCCAGGGCAATGGAAAGGTCACAAGACACACGCAAGTGCCAGGCTGGAGAGTAAGGGGGCAAATCCAGGGAGGGTGGAGTCTCAGGAGTGTTACAGTTAGGGGCTTGGTTCAATGAGAGGAGGCTTGCACCCTATTGTGACATTCATGCACTGTGTCTCTGGGCAAGTCACTCACCCTCTCTGTGCTTCATATTTCTCTTCTGCACAAGGCAGCTGTGTTAGCGATTCTCCACGGGAGGCTCTGTGCTTCCTGTCTCCTGACTCCCTGTCCCTGCTCATGTCTTGTCATGGCTTTGACAGGGGCCCTCCTGGCCCAGAGCTGGCCAGTCAGGACAGGGTGGGCCTTGTGCTTTGCAACCTAAGGGGTGTGGCTCAGCTGTAGGGAGGGGAAACCTTTGGTGGCCTCTCCCTGGAGCCCTGGGCCCGGAGTTGGAGAATTTCGAGTGAGAAAGGAGGAAGGGCAGAAGTGGGGGAGGAGTCCTCGTTGTTCCCCAGCTCGGCCGGCTCTGGCTGGTGCTTTGATAGCATCTGTCTGGTCAGAAAGAACTGAGGTGACCCAGCGGGCAGCAGGTGGGGCCTGAGCGTGAGGCTGTGTGTGTACCCGGGGCCTCTGTGCGTGAGAAGGCTCTTGCGAGTGCAGCCAGGAGGCGGTGGCTGGGCTGTGCATGGACCCTGGCTCACTTACAACCTCCACAGCCCCTGAGCAGGTGCCCTTGTTCACTGTCCCCATTTTACAGAGGGGAAGGCACAGGCTCCCAGAGGGCAGTGCCTGCCTGGGCAGAGCCAGAATCAGGACCCAAGAGTCACAGAGCAGCCATGGAGGGGTGCCTGCTGTGGGCCAGGCAGGGCTCCTGTGCCACATGGGCTGAGCTTGGAGGCCAGTCGGACTCCAGCACCCTGGGAGATGCTGGTGTGCGTGTGCACGTGTGCTTGCGTGGGTGGCCGGGGCTGGCCCCTGACCCCTGCCCTCTCTACAGGTGCGGAAGATTGCGCCCGAGTACTACGACCACCTGCCGCAGCACCACTCGTGGGTGAAGGTGCTCTGGGATTTTGTGTTCGAGGACTCCCTGGGGCCCTATGCCAGGGTGAAGCGGGTGTGCAAGCTGGCAGAGGACCGCCTATGAGCCCTGCCAGGGAGCCTGCGACCTGACCCTGCCCACACTGCTCGGCTGGCTGCTGCTTCCCCCATGCCCATGGGCAGTGCCCCAGACGGGTTTGGCTGCTGCCTCCTTCGTACCCATGGGCAGTGCCCCAGACGGGTTTGGCTGCATTGATTCTGGCTTTTGTCCCCAGAGCCCTGGGAGTTGCCATCAGCAGCCATGCCTGTCAACAGTGGGCCCAGGCTGTGTCCTGGTCTGCACAGGGACTCTCAGTGGACCTTTTTGGGCTCAATGGGCAAGGTCTCAATGCCCGGGCCCATGATCCTCACGGAGCTGACTTCTCTGGATTCTTGTGCCCTAAATTAAACCCAGTGCTTGTTTTCACAGTCTGTGCATTGTGCTTCCGAGGGGGTGGTCCTGGCCCCAGCCTGGCTCCCAGAAGACAAGACCCCAGACCCAGGAAGGTGGTGCCTGTGCCTCAGTGGCGCCCCTCCTGGCCAGCTCCAACTTGAAACCCCTTTACTGAGTTGGTTGGGTGGTGGCCTCAGGCAGTGTTCCTGTGGATAGTGACCTCCAGGTGCATGGACGGCAGAAGGCCCTGCACATGTTGAAATCACAGCAGCAGACTGGGGACCCGTGGCTCCTCCCACCCTGGCTGAGCTCTCAGCCTGGCCCCCTGGACCTGTCCAACTTGTGCTCCACCTCAGGCCCTTAGCGCTGTGGAAGCTTCCCAAGCCCACAGAGGTTCAGGCCCATCAGCTGAGACAGCTCTGCAGAGCAGGCCCCGGCCAGAAGGACAGATGGGTGGCTGGACAGACACACACACACATAGTGAACCACAGCCCGAGGGCAGCAAGCTGGGCACTGTCCTTGGTGTCTGTGTGAAGTGGGGACATGTACCTCTGTCCTTTCTGTGGAGCAACCAATGGCACAGCTGCGACTAGGGAGGTAGCCCTTTGGTCAGCACCCTGGCCCTGGGGCTGGGCTAGTGTGACATGGGGTGTCTACAGCAGGCAGGCAGGAGCGGGTGCTGGGTGAGGCCCTCCCTCCACAAAGAGACGGGTGTGGGCTCAGCCATGGAGCACCCCCTAAGCGCTGGGGTGAGGCTGTGGGGCCGGCTGAGCCAGGGACCACCCGACAGGCGGCAGGGCTGCTGTTGACCTGGGATGGAGGCGGAAGCAGGGCTTGCTGTAGTCCTTGCCCTCTGCCTGGGAGTGGCCTCATTGGTGCCTGGCACAGGTGTCCCCGAGTGGTCTGACTGCTGAGATACTGCGGGGACAAGGCCTGGGCCAAAGGCTCTTTCTGAGACAGGAGGACTTTGAGCCTGGGCAGGCAGCCCCTCCCTGTGCACATAAGCCTGCCCAAGGGCCAAGGGGACCTGGGGGGAGTCCAGCCCCCACCCCACCCACAGCAGTCCTTTGACCTCTGCCCCCTCCACCAGCACATGTCCCCCAGGCAGTGCCTATCAGTAGCCTGGCCCGTCCCGACCCTGGGGGTGCCTCTGGAGACGGCCCTGAGTACGCAGTGTCAAGGGGGCGCAGGGAGAGGGTGGGAGCCCCTGCCTCCCAGAGCCGGGCTTCTTACTCCTGCTGGCAGAACAACCACGCGCCTGTCTTTGAGGGTTCGGGAATCCCCAGTGAGATACAGTACCTCAAGGACCAGGCCTCTCGTCATCAGCCAGGCTGGGCCCCGAGAGTAGCTGGGCCTGAGGTGGGATCTGGGGTGGGGCGGGGAGTCACATGGGGTGGCCTGAGGGACGGTGGCCAGGACATCAAGGCCTATCACTGCCTGGGCTCCTGGCCTCATGGATGGTGGTCCCCCAAGTCAAGGCTCAGACCCTGCCCTGGCTGCAATGGAGAGCTAGTGCTGGGGATGCACCCCAGGTGGCGTGGGTTGTCCCCGCTGCCACCCCAGGCCAGGGTCCTCTGTGAGGCGCAGGGGAGCCTGTATGGCAGGTGGGGGTGGCTTTCCCTACTGGCGCCCACTTCCCCACCTGAGCAGGTACATCCTCCGGACCCTGCGGGGCAGACAGCACACGTCCCTGTGGTGGTCCAGGCAGTGGCTGGGCTGACGGCCTGTCAGCTGGGGGCCTGGGGCGTGTGGCTCCTTTCAGGAGGACCAGAGGCCCCAGAACATCTGGGGGTGGAGCCCAAGACGTCCCGGCCCACCCCGTGGGTCCCGGGGATGTTCTGACTGAGCCTAGCTCCCAAGGGAGGCCCTTCTTGCTGCTCTCACGGCTGCGCGCCCTGGCCCTGGCCCCTTCCCTGAAAAGGGGCGTCCCCAACCAGGGCAACCTGGAGCCGGAGACAGTGAAAGCCAAAGCCCATGGTGTGGACAGTAAGTGGTTTATTACTGTGTGGACACAACACGTGGTGCGTGGACAGACAACACCGAGGTGCTGGGGCGGAGCTTGGCTGGGTGGCCGTGCTGTGCGGGATGCCGAGCCCAGCCGGCCCCTCGCTGCCAGCTCAGGGGCTCACAGCGTCACCTGGAGGAAACCTGGAAACCATCTAATGAAGCAGTTGATTTGGGGGTGTCCTCTATAAACCAAAGAAATGTACACTTAAATAAGCAAATATAAAATACAAAAAAAGAGAATAGACCTGGTATTCTGTGTCAGATAGAATCTAAAAAAATCCAGGAGTTGAACTTTGTTTCCTCGTTTTGAATTTGATCACAGGCTGAGACTTAGGTGGAGCGCATCCTGGCTCCCACGCTCCATGTGCGCTGGAGGCCGGGCGGGGGCTCCTTGCTGTCCTCCGGGTGGCGGTCGCCTTACGTGGTGCTGATCCCACTCAGCTCCTGCCTGATGGCTGAGGGACAGGACAGAGAGGGAGGCTCAGGGGCAGCCGTGGGGAGCCTGCCACACCCCGTGGACCTGCCCGGGCTGCTGGAAGCCCCCATGGGTTGCCAGAGGCCACACAGGGCGCGGCCTACTGGCAGCTTTGGCACAGGTCTCTGGTCTCACAGGCCACTCCTGCCACAGTCCCTGCTGCCACCACCTGCTCTGGCACAGAAGTTGCTGGCTGGGGTCTGGAATGGCCAGGCCTCTCTGATGCCTCAGCTCCAGAGTGGGGCAGGGCTCTCCGGGGCGGGGTGGGGGACAGCCCTGTGTGCTGAGGTTCAGGCGTCTTCGTAGGGTCTGGATGGGTGGCATCTGGGTCTGCTCAGAGGACCTGGGACCCTCCCTGACAAAGTGGGCGCCATGTGCTGCGCTCCCCAGTGGCAGCAGGAGACCTTGCTGACTGCTGGGTCCTGACTCTGTGCACGCCTCCTCCAGCTGCCCCCAGCTTGTTTTTCCTCTCCTGCGCCCCCACAAGCCCTCCCCACATCCTCCCAGGGCCTCTGGAGTCCTCCGTGTCAACTCTGGCCTCTCCCCGGACAGACCTCCTGGGCCCAGGAGCCAACATCCAGGACCAGGCAGCAGGAGGGGCCTGGGTCTGCGGCCCCCCACGGACCCTCTGCCCTCTGGAGTCTGCCATCAGCCTTTGCCACTTTTGAGTTCAGAGGACTCTCTCGTCCAGGTCACTGCTGATGCCCTGGGGCCCACAGCCAGCCACCCAGCCTGAGACTTCACCTTCCTGGAGGGGACAGCCGGTGGGGGTGGCGCAGGCTGCACTTTGCCGCTCTGTCCTGGGCCAGCCAGCCCTGCCCAAGCTTCCCCTTTCCTCTGGCTGCAGATCTGAGACAGCTCCTCAAAGGCCTGGGCGGATGTCACGGGACCCGCCCTGCTCTGGGGCTAGAGGCTGCTGGGGCCAGGCAGGCTATGGTGGCGCTCAGCTCCTGGCTCCCAGCAACCCCTCCCAGGAAGGCAGCAGCCCTCAGAACTCCAAAACCAGTGACTGGAGGTGGCAGGCCAGAGAGCAATGTCAATGGCAGATAATGAAATAAAGAACGAGAAGTCTGGAATATCCGCTGGGCTTCCCCCAGGGACCAGGGCCCATCTTCCAGCAGCCCGGGGAGGTGGTGTTCTTAGGCAAACCACTCAATTCTCCTGAGCCTGGGTCCCCACAACCAGAGCCTGGGGGGACAAGGGGCCCTGGCCCCACCTCCGCTGGCAGGAGCACTGCCTTCCCTGCTCCTTGCACAACCCTGCCCCTTCTCAGGACACTCCACCATGGGGCCCCAGTGACAGTGCTGCCCGCGCAGCCCACTCACCGTCGATGATCTCCTCCTTCACCTTGTGGAGCTCTCGGACCACCTCCTCCAGGATCTCCTGTGGGCAGAGCCTCCAGGTGAAGGGCCGGGGGTCTCGCCCTCACCCTGCCCTTCGCAGCCCTTGGTGCGTCCCCAGCTGGGGAAGGACAGTATGGGGTGTGGGGGCAGATGCTCCACCACTCTTCAGGTGCACACTGGTGAAACCCAGGGCTGTCCCACGGGAGAGGCCCCCTGAGACAGGCTGGGGGGACCAGAAGGTGGAGGATCACTTTGTTCTGGTGACAGCAGGAGCTGGGGACAAACTATGAACATGGGCACCCCCTTTCCTCCTCTGGCTGCTCCCTGCCTGCCTTTGTGGCCCCCCTGGGCGTGCCTGCTGGCTGCTCAGCCCTGAGGAAAGGAGACACTCACCTGTTTCATCCGGTCCAGATCTAAGGCATCCAGGGCCACGTCGTTAGCGCTCCCAGCAGGCTTCACCCTGGGAGAGGAACGGCAGGTGCAGACCAGCGGGCGGCAGAGCCCGCAGGCACCCTGCACTGGGGAAGTCTGGGGGTGCCAGAGGTCCCCCGCAAGGGCCAGGCTGCTCCCTTGGTAGTCCTGGTGCTGTTCACCCATGTCACTATTAGGCTGCTCAAAAAAGTCAGTAATGCCCAGTGTCCACCGCCGAGGGTGCCTGTGGGCGCCGTGACCACATTCCTCCTCCAAGAAGGTCTGATGGAAGTTGTCTTCCACCCACCCACTGCCCCCTGTGGAAGAAGCACCAATGTCCTGCTCCTCAGCGTGGGGACCGTGTTCCTGGCTAAGCCGAGGCTTGGGGAAACCCAGCAGTGTGGCATTGAGTTCAACGTGAAGTCCCAGGTAGCCATGCCCTGGGGACACCGCCTCCCACCCACACCAGCACCTGGTGTTGGTAACTGATGCTGCCTCTCTCCTTCAAGAGACCTCGTGGACGTGGCACTGCTGCTTTGGCTTCCATGGTCTGTACTTATTTGAAAAGGTTTGGACTAAGGGTGACTGATCTGAATTTGAATGCCTCTCCCTGGGCATCCCCCCATCTCCTCGCACAGCACCGATCTAACGACAGGGTCTTTTGGAAAGGGATCTTGGTGCCGCAGGGCAGACATGTGGTCTGGACCAATTTCCCTCCCCCTGTGAACAGAATGGCAGTTGGAGCCTGTTCCAAGGAAATGAATGTGGCCCAAGTCAGGTAGAGGTTCGAGGGCGTGAC